CAAATGGATGCCCTTGTAGAAGTGTGCAGGGAAAGACGTGCTGGGAGATGTGTACAAATGGATGCCCTTGTAGAAGTGTGCAGGGAAAGACGTGCTGGGAGATGTGTACAAATGGATGCCCTTGTAGAAGTGTGCAGTAAGAGAGGCTGCGGCAGAAATATGCAAGGAGAAGAGTTCTCAGAGAGAAATGTGCGGAGAGAAGTGTGCAAGGAGAAGAGTTCTCAGAGAGAAATGTGCGGAGAGAAGTGTGCAAGGAGAAGAGTTCTCAGAGAGAAATGTGCGGAGAGAAGTGTGCAAGGAGAAGAGTTCTCAGAGAGAAATGTGCGGAGAGAAGTGTGCAAGGAGAAGAGTTCTCAGAGAGAAATGTGCGGAGAGAAGTGTGCAAGGAGAAGAGTTCTCAGAGAGAAATGTGCGGAGAGAAGAGTGCAAGGAGAAGAGTTCTCAGAGAGAAATGTGCGGAGAGAAGTGTACGCAGGAATAAAAAAAAAAATCCACCTAAATATGCACCCCTCGGGTCCGAATAGTTGAAAAAAAAAAGGCCACCACTTAAGCAGGAAACAAAAGAGCTTTTCATTCAAAAATATTCACCTGCAAACATTTATTCGACATATCAACTCTTATTTCTCGGCTCTTCACTTACTTGCATGGGCGCCCGCAGAAGACTTTCTACAGAGGGGGGGGGCAAAAAATCGATTAACTTTCCAGGGGGGGGGGAATTTTTAAGTAATGTTTTAATGTAGCTTTAATTTACTGTAGCGTATTTGTATGGTGAACGAACGGACAGGACATCAGCTTAGTTTCTTTCTCTTTATTTTCTCTTTACTTTAATACATTTTTTGTCTATTTTTGTCTAAAAATTTTTTAGCCAATCAATCCAGGGGGGGGGGGCAAGTGCCCCCCCTTGGCCCTACCTGCGGGCGCCCATGTTAACTTGGATTGATTATACGAGGGTTCGACTCTTTCAAGACATTTGGACCCCACATAGAACCCGAGCAAAGAAAAGGGTACGTTTCACCTCACGGGGTCGCCCCCCCCCCCCATTATTATTGGAAGAGCTTAAAAAAAAGCTTCTGCCAGGAAAATTACTTTCAAGGTTTCAAATTTATAAGAAACTTAAAATAAATGTAACATTTTTTATAGTGCAATAAGTGAAGAACAATAAAAAGGTGTTATCTCTAAAATAGTGTCCTGTCTAACAACCCACACCCTCCCCCAGAAACCCCCCCCCCCCCCCAACAACAAAAAAAAAATAAAAAAAAAAAAAAAAAAAAAAAAAAAAAAAAATAATAATAAAAAAATTAGAGATAATGAAAAAAAAATTTGGGGGACTAAAATAAATTTCTATCTTAGAGACTTTGCCCCCACCCACCCCGACATCCCAACCATAAATAATCTTCAAATTTCCCACCTGTTGGGTGTACGGACCTCGTCTGAGATGGTGTGCTTTAAGCTTTATATATTAAAAATATAAAGCATATTTATGACTCGTGGGCGAGGACAATTTCGACATTTCAATGAGCTTGCAACTGGGTCTTCGACGTGCTGGTTGGCACAGGGAGCTCAAGATTTGATAGATCGTTCTTGTTTTTTTGTTAAATTTAAGTTTTGGTGTCTTCAACACCTTGTCACAGCACCATACACCTCGTACAGGTCAATTGAGGTCATCAACAGCCTTTACGTCAATGGCCTAAGGACCTTCCCTTACACGTCGCCCGGATAAGAAATAAGCTGTTCCAGTTTTTGGTCAATTTGACGTCACCGCGGATGCTCTGCTTGGTCCAAGGGTCCAATTTCTTCGAGGACACTTTCTTAGTAAACTTCCCCCCCCCCCCCGTATCTTATAACGATGAAATATTTTGCGTGACATTTTGTTTAGCTGTCAACCCCCCCCCCCCACTCTGTTATTCTGACAAATATATGTTGTCGTTTTTGTTGTTATTTTAACAACAAATCAATCACAACTATACAACGTCCACGCCCCTAGATTGTAAGAAAATAAATTTGACCACCCAAACCAGAAAATGTCTTCTTTTTTTTTTCCCCTTCTTCATATTATTAATATGCTTGAAACACTTGGTGTACTTTGAACATCCGTCGAACGTCCACGCCAGCGGAGACTTTTGACAAGACGCGACAGGCATCAATTAGTCCAATGGACATCTTAGCGCCGCCATTTTGCTTGTCACGAGTCAGCGTCCAGCAGCAGATTTGAATTGAACAGCAGGAAGTGACGTGCTACGCATGTTAACATGGTAGGGCGCTTGCTTCCTGCCAACAAATGAAGGTGCGTCGTGTCAGCCTAACAGATGTACCACAAAAATGTTAAGAAATGGATGACACCGGAGAAGACATTTACGCTGAATTCGTTGGTGAATTTTGTAATTTGTACACGGTGATTAGACTTTCTTGAAATCCATTTATCGGTATAAGATCACAAGACTTTCTTGTGTTAAAAGGAAACGTACATTTACTAGAAATTACTGTTGTATTTTACTAGCGACGATTGGGTTTTGCTGTGAAAAAATTAACTATGATTTATTTATTTTTTAAATAGCTCTGCCATGTGTTAGCATCACATGATCCTACAAGATAAAAACTGAGCAATGACGTCATTGTTAAGACACTCAGAAATGGCCAATGAAACGTATCAGTAAGTGACCTGTCGGACAATGATGTCTAACGTGGGCTAATGCTTTTCGAACCGCGATGCCTCCCCAGTTGTATTAGAAGCGGACAGTAGAGGGACACAAAGGTCTATCAATGCAATAGGATTTATCCCCTTATCTATCAATGCAATAGGATTTATCCCCTGGTCTATCAATGCAATAGGATTTATCCCCTGGTATATCAATGCAATAGGATTTATCCCCTGGTCTATCAATGCAATAGGATTTATCCCCTGGTCTATCAATGCAATAGGATTTATCCCCTGGTCTATCAATGCAATAGGATTTATCCACTGGTCTATCAATGCAATAGGATTTATCCCCTGGTCTATCAATGCAATAGGATTTATCCCCTGGTCTATCAATGCAATAGGATTTATCCCCTGGTCTATCAATGCAATAGGATTTATCCCCTGGTCTATCAATGCAATAGGATTTATCCACTGGTCTATCAATGCAATAGGATTTATCCACTGGTCTATCAATGCAATAGGATTTATCCACTGGTCTATCAATGCAATAGGATTTATCCACTGGTCTATCAATGCAATAGGATTTATCCACTGGTCTATCAATGCAATAGGATTTATCCACTGGTCTATCAATGCAATAGGATTTATCCACTGGTCTATCAATGCAATAGGATTTATCCACTGGTCTATCAATGCAATAGGATTTATCCACTGGTCTATCAATGCAATAGGATTTATCCACTGGTCTATCAATGCAATAGGATTTATCCACTGGTCTATCAATGCAATAGGATTTATCCACTGGTCTATCAATGCAATAGGATTTATCCACTGGTCTATCAATGCAATAGGATTTATCCACTGGTCTATCAATGCAATAGGATTTATCCACTGGTCTATCAATGCAATAGGATTTATCCACTGGTCTATCAATGCAATAGGATTTATCCACTGGTCTATCAATGCAATAGGATTTATCCACTGGTCTATCAATGCAATAGGATTTATCCACTGGTCTATCAATGCAATAGGATTTATCCACTGGTCTATCAATGCAATAGGATTTATCCACTGGTCTATCAATGCAATAGGATTTATCCACTGGTCTATCAATGCAATAGGATTTATCCACTGGTCTATCAATGCAATAGGATTTATCCACTGGTCTATCAATGCAATAGGATTTATCCACTGGTCTATCAATGCAATAGGATTTATCCACTGGTCTATCAATGCAATAGGATTTATCCACTGGTCTATCAATGCAATAGGATTTATCCACTGGTCTATCAATGCAATAGGATTTATCCACTGGTCTATCAATGCAATAGGATTTATCCACTGGTCTATCAATGCAATAGGATTTATCCCCTGGTCTATCAATGCAATAGGATTTATCCACTGGTCTATCAATGCAATAGGATTTATCCACTGGTCTATCAATGCAATAGGATTTATCCACTGGTCTATCAATGCAATAGGATTTATCCCCTGGTCTATCAATGCAATAGGATTTATCCACTGGTCTATCAATGCAATAGGATTTATCCCCTGGTCTATCAATGCAATAGGATTTATCCACTGGTCTATCAATGCAATAGGATTTATCCACTGGTCCATCAATGCAATAGGATTTATCCACTGGTCTATCAATGCAATAGGATTTATCCCCTGGTCTATCAATGCAATAGGATTTATCAACTGGTCTATCAATGCAATAGGATTTATCCCCTGGTCTATCAATGCAATAGGATTTATCCCCTGGTCTATCAATGCAATAGGATTTATCCACTGGTCTATCAATGCAATAGGATTTATCCACTGGTCTATCAATGCAATAGGATTTATCCACTGGTCTATCAATGCAATAGGATTTATCCCCTGGTCTATCAATGCAATAGGATTTATCCCCTGGTCTATCAATGCAATAGGATTTATCCCCTGGTCTATCAATGCAATAGGATTTATCCACTGGTCTATCAATGCAATAGGATTTATCCCCTGGTCTATCAATGCAATAGGATTTATCCACTGGTCTATCAATGCAATAGTATTTATCCACTGGTCTATCAATGCAATAGGATTTATCCAATGGTCTATCAATGCAATAGGATTTATCCACAGGTCTATCAATGCAATAGGATTTATCCACTGGTCTATCAATGCAATAGGGTTTATCCACTGGTCTATCAATGCAATAGGATTTATCCACTGGTCTATCAATGCAATAGGATTTATCCACTGGTCTATCAATGCAATAGGATTTATCCACTGGTCTATCAATGCAATAGGGTTTATCCAATGAGCGCGAGAAAGCGCAGTCAGTAGATTCACTGTGTGCGTCACTGCCTTTCAAACATATTTTGAAAATATACATAACAAATATGGCGGACGGAGACATTCGGAAATCGATTGCTGTAAACCAAAAAAGTATCTTGACAACGATCTCACCAGCCTCTTCTCAACATTGACAAGGAATTTTGATTCATATAACGACTGTTAAAAGCGAATATATTGGTATAAAGTGGTTTTCCTCCATTGCGATCTTATAGATGAACTATAATAATTTATGAAGTAAAGGTAAAAATCAATTTAGAACTGGTTGCGTCAATCAAACATTTATTTTATTTGCCCAATTATTTTTTAAATGGTTATTTCTCTACATCTCAGAATCGATAGGAAAAAGGTGTAACTACTTGTGCGTGCTGGTGAAGATTGAGATATGAATTATTGCTAGATGTGTAGTCTATGATCGGGCCATGCTCTAAAGGAAGCACACCAACCAAAAATGCCATCGACTCTTCCGGTTCTCGACAGTCACAGCTCTGAATACGCCGACGGCGACTCCTCCAGCTATTCAGAGGACACCGCCCCGAATGTCACACTCGCCTTCATCGGCTGCCCGTCCAGCCACACGGAAATCTCCTTAGATTTCGAGACGCCGGACCCCATACGCGCCCATTCGTCCAGCGAGGTGTTTCACGAACACGAGCAGAGGAGAAAGCCTGGCCAAGAGCAACGGGAGAATGTGGGATCTACAGAGAAAGAGGTCCCCGTTGCTGGTGGTGCGCCCCTGCTCGAGATGCTTAACGATACCGATACTGATATAGCACTTTTGGAGAACATTGCTGCGCATGACGCCGACACACCTCTCAGAAGTGGGCCTGAGGCTTGGTCCGCCGAGAAGTGCGTTACATCCGAGGATTTGAACGTGATGAAAGATCCTCAAAAAATCAATGGAGCACGGCAGCCCCTTTACAATCCATTAGAACGAGGAGACGCCCCGTGCCGCTTGTGTACACCAGGGCGAACATCCCCGATCCCGCTCGTTAATGATGGCAAGAAAGGCGGAAGGTCCCCGAGAAAGATGTCCGGCCACTCGAAGAGAAATCCATCGGTTTCTCCGTGTGACGCGTGGCAGAGAAAGAGATCCAACGAAAGGTCGGGCGAGGGTAAAACGTCCCAGAAGGTGAGGGGCGGTGTAAGGGTTCACAAAAGTCAAACAGAAGGGCGCCATGCGGACGATGCTGGGGCGGGCCCTATGAACTTTCCTACCGTGGACCAGGTTCGAGTGGCGCGCGCGCCGAAGAAGCCCCCGCCGGGGACGCGAGCCAAGGCCCAGGGAGATATGGAGCCGTCGGATAAGGAAATCGGGGGGCTCGCCGAACGTCAGAATGACAGCATTGACGTTGATCTGACGCACGCGGGCGACATGGACACTGACATGGCGGTAGCCGCGGCGTCTAAACCCAACCCGCCACCCGGCACGAAACAGCAGTCCAGGGGACACCCCAACATCGATAAGATGTTCAAGGACGTTCTGCGGATCCTCATCGAGCAAAGCGGGCCGAAGAGTGAGTCCGGTGTCACCTCGATTTACGACGACCCCGCCGACAGCAAACCGTTCAGTTTCAAGTCAACGGGGATCTGCTCGTTTGGTTTCCAGGCGGAAACAAGCAAATCAAACAACGCATGCGCTCTGAGCGACGCGGTCGTTTCGGACGAGGGCAGTGACGGCACGGATACTGACGAGCCGGCGAGCGAGATGTGTGAGACGAGCACCTGTTTCTGGCCTCAGTCTCAATCACATCGGTGCGACACCGACCCAAACCGGGTTGCCCAGGAACACGACGATATCGTGCGCCACAACAAGAACTGCCACCATTGCTTCGACGATGAGGAGGAGTGGGAGAAAAGCGATCCTCAGCCGCCGTCAGACAGCGACTCGTGCGAAGTCACTGACGACGGGGAAGACAGCAGGCAGGAAGACGTGGCGCAACCGTCGAGGGAAAATTTGGAAATCTGTCGTCGAGCTGTGCAGCTGAAGGCCGAGAACTTTCAGGAGCGGGTGTCGGCCATTGCAGAGTCGAGCAGGTCGAATACGATTAGAGAAAAGAGTCTTGCGGGGCTTCAAGGGGGTGAGGGTGAGATGGACGGGGAGACGGATATCGTGGAAGACGCTCATCGGAACGCGAACCGGGACCCGAGCAGCCGAGCATTAATTAAGCAGAGGCCAGTGGCTCCTGAGCGTGTGACGCTGTCCAGATATAGGAAGGACAAATGCCTTAAAAGTTCCAATCTTGAGAATGCGCACAATAACTGTGAGAATTATTTGAGCACAAATACTTCAATTAAGCTGGAAGGTCAATCAAAGGTAAACCCTGGTACCTTCATTGGGTCTGGGCCAGGTGAAGTCAGTTCGTTGCGGGACACGTCGGTGGGCACGACAAAATCTCAGCGGCAGAGGATAGGGCCGACTGAAAATCTATCTGAAGACAATATCGAGATTATTGTAACTCCACCTTCACCGAAATACCCGACTCCTGTCACGGACAGTGAGGTCACAGACAGTTTAAAAGATGGCCCCAGCAACCTGAAGGTCCCCTTGGAGTCTTACGCCCCCTTAACAAAACGTCCCAAGAGGCTGTCCGTTGACGACCAGGAACAGGAGGACATTGAACTGACGCTGGACAACACGAGCGAGGAGACGTCTCTGCTGAAAGCCCTGACCGATGCAAACGATAGTAAAAGTTATGCCGAGTCCCCTCCTTTCACCGAGGGCCAGTCCAGGCAAGGGATACTCTCGGCGTGCCTCGAGAAAGCCCGGGCAGTGATTAAGAAAGTCAGGGCGCGTTCAGTGAGTCCGGTGAAGCTGTTCTCTAAACTGAATAGATTCTTGTCGAAGGACAAAGAGGACGTCCCGCCCATGAAATCCTTGTCCGAGCTTTACGACGCGGGGGAGAGCCACGAGCCGTGCAGGTTGATCATTCACAAATCGAGACTTGTCGAATTTCAGGCCATAACGACGCGGACGCACAGAGAGGGGAGAGCACGCGTGGAAGAATCGAGTCCATCTACTGACCAGCAGCAGCCCGGGGACGCCCACCCGCCCATCTTCTGTTTGAGCGTTAGAAACTCTTCCGGCGTCAAGATGTCGACCATGCGTATCCCACGGTACGACCCGTTCAGGACGCCGAAGCGAACGTCCATCGGCGAGGACACGAGGCTGAGAAATCCTTGCTCGCCGGCGCTGCAAGGTCATCGACCTATACCAGTCCAAGGAAGGGTGTTAGAATCGAACGCCCTCTCGTGTGCCGTACGGGGTACACTGTTGGCACCCGCTAATAATGACTCGGACCGTCTCCAGGCCTCCAACGCTGAAATGGAGTTTCAAGAGTACAACCACAGGAGATCTGCATTCAGACAGTATCGGGAAAACAATGGATCCCCTTGCCCGCAGTCCGTGGTTCTTGCTGTGGACCCGCGAGAAACTACCTCAGGCAAATTTGAGAGTGATCCGACGGAATGCATTGTGAAAACGGCGACGCGGTCAGAGGCGGCTGTCACAAGACAAGATTTCGGACACGTTGAGGCGGCGGCGGTCAACACGAGAGAGCAGCAGTGCGTGGTGATAGAAGGCAACGAAGCGGAGTGGAATCTGATCGTCCAGGGAAGCCTGTCCTGGTCAGACCTCAGAGAGAATGAGGAGGTTTCCACCCACGAGGACGTCTCGTCCTCTGCCCCGATTAAGACCCACAGTTTGCTGAACGTCAGCGAGACGGCGCACACCGAGTCCTGTGTGAATGACGTAATGGCGATCATCTCACAAGAGGTCAACATCAAGAGATATCCCAGCTTCCCCGACCTCACCGATCTCAACGACGACGATCCGGGATCAGCAGCCGGGCGCGAGTTAGCAGCCTCGTCGAGTCCTCTGCCTGATATCGAATTCGAAAACGACGCCACATTGCCGGGACTCATCGACAGCGATACGAGCCCACTGCACATAAAAACGGAACAGTCCCCGATTTCCGCCGCAGAGGTCGAGATGTTGAAGATTTCCCAGAGGCGGCGGGAGGCCAGCGATAAACTATCGGAAGAAGAAGGCTATGAGAAACTCACACCGCCAAACTCACCACATCTAGGGGCGCCGAGCTCTGGCGTGCAAGTCCAAACGATGGTTTCCCTGCTGGAGTCGTGTAGCATGCTGTGTGGCGAGACGGACGCTGCGCCGAGTAGAAATTCCTCCACCGTCAACGCCACTCCTCACGCACACCCGGAAAAGCTGTCGAAAGTCGTGTGCTCCACCCTGGATGTTCAGAGAGCAGTGGCCGTTGTGAACCAGCCGAGCCTCGAATCGGAGCCGACGTCCTTTACGAGCTCCTCCGCGAACGAGCAAGAGATGAAATTAATGCACCTACCCTCGCCACCCAGCTCCTCGCCCAGCCATAGCAGCTGTTCTCAGAGAGATGTTTCAACAGAACGTGCGCAGGCGGATTTAATGTACGCCGAATCGACGTCAAAAGCTGTGGCTCAACACCACGTCGCCCCATATAGTTGCGCAGCCAATCTCGAGGGTTTGAGAGCAGCGCTAACACTGGACTACAACATCCTGGCGGACGAGACGTCGTCCGCTTGCGGAAATGTCAACACATTGTCAGAGCAGAGGGTCCTCCTGGACGAAAGCGACGTCTCGCAGCTTTCGCAGTTCGTCTCCAGCTCAGAGGCGATCCCCAAAGTTCATTCGGGTACTTCTATACAGGGGCTGGTAAGTCTTGGGGCCGCTGTGGAGTTAACAAGTGCCGACATCGGTACTCGGGCATCGTTCGAAGCGATGCCGACTATCGACACAAAGTCTTTGGCAGTGCCCAACGAGACCGTCGCCGCCTCGGGCGGGGAGGCGATCGGCCAACCGACAAGCGCCATTCTGCTCAAGGTGAAAACTTGCACTGTACAGAATGATTGCATATTTAAGAAAACCGAAAGTCCCGCCGACTCTTACGAAGAACTGATCTTGGAGGAAGAGGATAGTTTGTCGTCAAGTGGAAAAACGTCATCACCAAAATATCGTGTACACCAGGGAGAGAATTCCACCAAAGACACGCACCTGTCGTCCTCTGAAGATGTTTACTGGCAAGAGGACGCTAGGCTAAAGCTGAGAGGTGATTTCGACCGATACCCTGTGATGGCCCAGGGCGCCAGGTCACAAAGTGCCGAGAGGCCTCGTGAACACGGACCGTCTGAAGCTGCCCGCAGTCCGATCTTGAGCACGGGCGAAAATCAACGGACGCCGCTGCGGAGGATCAAGTGGAGCACGCATGCGTACGCCGAGGACGAGAGCGAGCAGCTTTCTCAGTCCAGCTCGTTCTCCGACAGGAGTGAGGAGTTCGGCATCTCGGAGACCACGCTCAAGGAAACCAAGAGGGACGCAAGCCTTCTGGAATCGCTCTCCGAGCACCACCCAATCGTCCCGACGTGCGAGGTAAACGGACCGCCCATCCAAGCGAACCCGAGGGTCGTGAAGATTAAGAACAAGACCAAAAGATCCACGTCGATGATCGACAAGAGCACGAAGAAGAAACCGGCGAACAAGTCGAATCTGAACAACAACGTATCGATGCTGTCCGTATTCGGGTTGGTGCCTCTACGAAAGATCATCAGCGGCAAGAGAAATCGATCGCCGATGAGCAAAACCAACCAAGCACCGGTCGTTGTTCCTGACGGGGTCAACCTGGACCCCAAGTCGGACATGATGAAGATATCTTACGTCATTACCCCGGTGTCACAGATCATCGGCGTGTCGTATGCGGATGAGAAGTCGGCGGGAAGCGAGGCTTTTGACCTTGAGTCCGAATCAAAGGATTACCAGCTCGACGTCATCTTGCCCAGAGCCCTGGAGGGAGCAGAGAACGAGGGAAATTGCCTCGATGAGCTCGAACTCGAGAAGACTAGAAAAGACGCAGTGAAATCAAAGCCTTGCCTTTACCTGTTGCCCCAAAAGGCGGGCACATTCACTAGTGACCCCCGTAAGTCAAACACCAAGAAATCCCTGGAAGTCCAGGAAATCAAAACGAAACCAGCAAATGCCAAGGACAAACCCGCAATCAATCGTGTCGGGGAAATCGTTGCCCCTCCTCGAGTCACGCGCAAGATAATAGCCACCCACGACACCTACAGTGCACAGCGGGACTCCGCTAAGAACGAGTCCCCAAAGAGTGTAAAAGGATCCCCGGAGTTTTCCTTTAGCCAGCCCGTTGCGTGCTCGCCCCGTCAGCACTGCCTGACGACGTCCTACTCACTGCCGCTGGTGGTCAAGAAGGGCTCGAACCCCGTGTACCACCAACAGCCGAGACTCGGACACGGGGTAAGACCCAGCCGGACCATGACGACCCTGAACCGGCTCAGCGAGAGGATCCAGCGCTCGGAGCTACAGGCGGCAAAGGGTTACGACTTCGTGGAGCGGTCCCACTTCCACATGGAGCGCTGCGAGAAGCTGATACGGCGGTCGTCGGAGATCATCAAGAAGTCCCAGCTGATGGTCAGCAGCTCCAAGAAGAGGATGGAGGACACGGCCAAGATCATGAATCTGAACTGCAAGAGATATTTCCTCTGTTGAGACGGTCACCTCTGCTGCTGAGATGGCATCCGCCTTCCTTTGAATTCATAGAGAAAAACATTGTAAAACTTTTTTTTATCATTCTAATCAAGGAGCATTTTATTTACCAACCATAATGACGGCGCGATTTCAACTTAGTTTTGAAGAATTTAAAAAATTAACTTCTGAAGGAATTTAAGGAAAAAAACAAACAAATTCAGCCATATTGAGATGAGCGAGTCCAGTAGCAGTAAATAGCGTCAAAATGTCTCAAAGCTATCAGTTACTCTGCCGATTCTGAGTAAGTCCTTGTTAATATGTATTTGACCTCATATGTATTATGTCAGATGGAGGTCAAGTACCCTTGTCAGAAGGGCCAAGCTCTATGAAAACATAGTGATTCGATGTCAAATATGGTGGGTACTTTAAAAATAAGAGAAGAAGAAGAAGAAGAAAGCTTTGTTAGACGAGGGCGACTGTGTCTAACATTCACGAATTACTTTTAACAATAACAAAAAACATATATACCCTTCCATCTACTTCCTTGCAGGCAGCAAAATCATGTACCACGAGGCATTTAGCTGTCCGTTAAAACAAAGGGGAAACATTTTTTTTTTAAATAAATGATCCAATGTTTTCTTAGGTGAGCCAACACCTTGAGATTGTACTCACTGCAGCAAAAGAGCTCCCCTGTGCATTGGTCATGGCCGCGAGATTTTTAAACACAGATACATTACGCAAAGATATCCACACACAAAAAAAACAACCAGATCGAGTACTTCAAATCAGTTCCCTGATATTTGAAGTTGTCTCAATGATTTTTTTTTTTTTTGAACTTAAGGATGTACAACTTTTACCATAGGGTCATCATTTTTATTATCATCATTTCGAATTCTTCTAAAGTGATGATAAAACAGGGAGGTCGGCTGTACAATGTTTTATATATAAAGATAATGAACAAGCAACCATACATCTAAAATTATACGCATTCAACATGAATCTCCTATTAAAAAAGTGCAACATTGAATCCACAAGAGAATAATTTAACAAAACAAACAATAGAAACAGCAAATAAATGCGCAACAGTCATTGCCCCTTGAAAAAAGAAACATGCCACATTTAATCACAAAACAATAGAAATACAAAAAGCAATTCACATTTTAAACAATAACTGTACCACACCCTACCATCAAGTAAACGAGCGGGTGTGTAGCTGTGTCTGCCTGTTACACGGCGGTAACAAAACTAATGTGAGCTACACTTGGATTTTAGAAGGAACACAAATATGCCTGTCAAGGCAAAACCTTTTTTTTTGTTATTTCTCTAAGTGTCACACTAGATCTAAATATAATTCTGTCTTTCTTTACAGAACTTTTGTAAGCTACTATTTTTTTATTAATGAGTTACTTGTACAACGTGTTCATTAATTTTTTTATCGATCACTGAGATTCTTTCAAAATTGACCCCAATTGAAAATGTTGACCTCTGTACAATAAACGCTAGCAAAATAAAGAACAAATCCATTTTTGGCATTTTTTTATAGTTTATTTTTTTTTTTATAATTTTTTTCTTTAATTTATTTTTTAAGCAGTTGTGATCATTTGGGTGTAGTGGGAATGTTCTAAGAATCTAAGAATCTAAGCTGTATCTCCGAGTTGTTTGTTGCAGTTGTTGTTTTCATTAGGTTTTTTTTACAGTTAATCCCCACCCCTCCCATGTTTTTGTTTTTCGCCTCATGTCAAAAGACTCGGTGGCGAAATGTGATGTCTTCATCTCTCTTCATAAATTATAAACTACAGAGAAATTTATCCTACAGACAATAGTTCTGAAAAGTTCATGGAAAAAAACAACAAAAAAATTAATTACTTAGGAGTTGAACGTAAGCTTATTTAGAATAGCTTTTTTTTTTGCGTGAAGTTATTAAATTAAAACTTTCTTTGTCTGTGCCACGAATGTGGTTCGAGTGCCTACGTTGTCCAGGGGTATGACGTTCACACGGTACACAGGAGTAAATCAACACCTGACACAAGGTTCTTTGCAGCTATTAAGTCTGGGCTTTTTATTCTACTACCTTTTAATCTAACAAGTTGTCCCATTGGTAATGTGGGTTTCTGCTAACAAGTTGTCCCATTGGTAATGTGGGTTTCTGCTAACAAGTTGTCCCATTGGTAATTTGGGTTCCGCTAACAAGTTGTCCCCATTGGTAATGTGGGTTCCACTAACACGTTGTCCCATCGGTAATGTGGGTTCCACTAACAAGTTGTCCCCATTGGTAATGTGGGTTCCGCTAGCAAGTTGTCCCCATTGGTAATGTGGGTTCCGCTAACAAGTTGTCCCTTTGGTAATGTGGGTTCCACTAACAAGTTGTCCCCATTGGTAATGTGGGTTCCACTAACAAGTTGTCCCATCGGTAATGTGGGTTCCAATAACAAGTTGTCCCATCGGTAATGTGGGTTCCACTAACAAGTTGTCCCATTGGTAATGTGGGTTCCGCTAACAAGTTGTCCCCATTTGTAATGTGGTTTCCGCTAGCAAGTTGTCCCCATTGGTGATGTGGGTTCCATAAAACAAGCTGAGCCAAAGAGCCACACATACCAAAGCAAAGGGCTCCCTGGCACCACTGCTAGCACAAAAACTAACAAAATCATTGATAGGGTCAGCGTCCTACCCACTCGCTCTCCCCCTGCTCTACTGACCACCCCCTTTGCCTTAAGTAACAATACGCTTATATTCCGCCTGGAACAAAACGGAAACTCAGGGATTCAAACACCTTGTCAGTCTGTGCATGGGAACAATAAAAAAAAAAGGAAAAAGGGTTGTTGGGGGAGGGGGGGTGGGGGGAGGGAAAGGGTCATTTTTAAATCTTTCTAATACGGGTGTCGAATTGTTTATGGGGACTGTTATTTCTCTGAACTTCGGTTCAAATTCTTTAATGTTTAGGTAGGTATCGCATTATATTTTGTAACGGTTTTCTCACAAAAATTGTATTTTATGAGGTTTAAATATAGAAATTTCAAAAAAAAATTGTTTCAGTCTTTAATCTTAGGTGTGGCACGTAGGCAAGAGGCTGATCGTAAAGTAATGTTAACCTTATATGTACTGACAGGCGAGATAATTAGATTAGTTTACATTTCGGCGACTGTTTATGCGGTTCTTTCCCTTCATCACACAATTTCTCGCATAGCATTAGATCTTTTTACTTATTTATTTATTCATTTTACAGTTAGCCCCCTGACTTTTAATCCTTTCAAAATAAAGCATGTCTGAGACTCCATTACCATTACATTTCCATTTTGACGCTTACTTCCTTTAAAGCTAACTTTTTAAAAAAAAGTCCTTTAAAATAATCTTTTTGGTTTTTTCTTACTTTGTTCATGAAAGAATGTATGTTATTTTTTTGTTTTATAATTCAAACTTCAATATATAATAACAATAACAAAGTTAATTTGAAAAATTACGCTTCATCCCCAAAGGCTCGAAGCGCGGTACAGCGTATAGTATATTGAAAGAGAAATGAAACAATCTTTTAAATACCACAATGAAATACAAAATGCAACATTGCAAAAACTATATACGAGAATACCCATTCTAAGTCTTTCATACCCTAACAACCATAAACAACACAGGCCAAAACACACCTACAAGATAATAGCTAGATAGACCACATCATCCCAGCTGGTGTCTGCGAAATAGATATGTCTTCAAATCAGTTTTGAAAGACTCCAGCGACTGGCTGTTTCTGAGAGTGACAGGAAGGGTGTTCCAAATTGTTGGGCCAATTAATGCAAAAGTACGCCCCTCGTAAGTCTCAAGGCGAACACGTGGTGTCGAGAGTTTGCCACTATCAGATGAGCGGAGCTGTCGTTTGGGTACATAAGGCGTCAGCAGCTCTTTGAGACAGGAAGGCGCCAGGTCATGCAAGCAGCGGTAGCACAGAGTTGCAATTTTGTACTCTATGCGAGCGTGGACCGGCAGCCAATGCGACTCTCTCAGAAGTGTTTTAGCATGGTCGAATTTCTTTTTTCGAAAAAAAAAGTGCGAGCCGCATTATTCTGAGCTTTTTGAATTTTATCCAGGAGCGTAGCTGGAAGACCCGCCATAAGAGCATTGCAGAAGTCCATGCGTGATAGCACGAATGCAGACATACGCTTTTTTGATGCATCTAATATATATAATATATAATATTCCTTAAATACTAAATATTATAGAGAGATGAGTCTCTAATTAATGAGGGGTGAGCCACATACATCGGATCTCTATGAAACCCAAGTAATGTTGTTTTTTTTCCCCTTTTTTTATTTTTGACATTTTTTTTCAAATATTTTTTTTCTTTCATAGAATGTGAGGTTGTGGGCGTTCAATATTGTTTGAACGAAATCCTCGTTGAATCGGTCATCTGTTTCGTTACTTCCGTTGTTTGTGTGATGCAGGAGTAAACGTGATAGCTCCATGACAACTGCGGAATCACAGATCGTTTCCGGTTGCGTAGAAAACCACAACTTGGGATGAACCGAGTAATGAATTAGGGGATTTTTTCGATCATGATTTGTGGTTGACTTTGTGTGTGTGTGGGGGGTAGGGGGATATGTGTGGGATGATGAACTTTGAACGAGCTTCTTTTTGGCCTGATTTGCTGCTCTCAGATGCCAATAGAGGTGTCTCACGTTAGCAATAGCGTAAAACAATTTGTTTAATGAAAAGATTGCGATAAGAACGAATGTGTGACATATCTTTTGTATACGCAGTGGAGCTCTTCTTTTTCTTGTCGGTCGGACACCAAATTTTGGGGTGGGATTTGATTTAAGGTTTCTCAATATATATTTTAGACCTAAAAATTGAGTTTTGGCAAAGTTTTGTCTTATAAATCGCCCACATAACTTTGATATACAGGTTCTCGGCATTCTTTGTTATATTGAAAAAAAAAAAAAGAAGTTTTAATTTATTTTTTTTAAAAATTAATCTTTGGTTAAGAGAAGAGTGTTTTTTTGTTGGTTTTTTTGTGGGGTTTGGTTGGGGCGGGAGGGGGGGGAGATTCAGCAAACCTCGCAAAATTTGACAGCCGGTGCTGGTACTACAACGTAGTTCAAGTCATTGCTCGGAGTCGCAAACAATCATATACTAACAGAGACTCCTGACCATGACGCTCTCATTCTGTTAGCGGTAACAGGATGGATCTGCAACAAAAAAATGGATGCAATGCTTCTGTAAGTTTTTCTTTGATGTTCTCAACAGCACTGGCGTGACGGAACTTGGAACGGCCTCAATCCCATTCTTTAAATTACGTCCCGATTATTATGCCGTCCAAACCGTTGTGCTCCGGGAAAACTGTCTGGCTCATTTGATGAAAGACATTTATTTAGACAGTACCGTAGAGCAAATGTGTGTATATGTTGAACTCACCGTGACCCCCCCGTCCCCCACGACCACCCCTAACCCGATGACCAGATGGTCGTAGTCGATCTTGATGGACGGACACTATATTGATAAATGGTATGAGCCCCAAAGGACACTTTGAAATTATTTTCCCTGATATGAACACAAACTTAGAACCGTCGTAATGAGTCAAACCAAAGGTGATGATTTGTAATAAAAAGATAAAGTGCACATTATGTCTGCTGCTCTAACTCCAGGACCAGGAAATGACGTCAGGTTAGCCTGGGTGAAGGAACGTCAAAGTATGCCAAGGTCGTAAACAACAATTTGATAGTCTTCTTTATAAAAAAAAATATTTACAACGAAATTAAAAGTTTCAACAACAATTTTTTTTTAAATATTC